AGTGGGGAAAGTGGGGGAGAGTAGCAGAGTCTGGACATATTTTGAAGGCAAAGTAAATAAGATTTGCTAAGGTATTTGGATGAATGATGACAGAAAAAGGAAGTTGAGACTAACTCCACGATTTTCTTCCTGAGCAACTGGAAAGATGAAGTTGCCCTTTTCTGAGATGGAGAAGACTAAAAGGAGCAGGTCTGGAGGGAAAGATCAGAATTACAACGTCGGACAAGTCGAGTTTGAGATGCCTAGTTTGAGATGCCCACTAGCCGTTCAGGTGGAAAGAGGAAACAGGATTTACAGGTCTGCAGATCAGGAGAGAGATTACGGTAGAGCTAAGAGAACACAAACAAAATTTCAAGTCTCCCCACTCCCAACAGAACTCTTTCCACAGTCTGGAGAGGACTCTCCGGTGAGTTGGCAAAGTAAAATACCTGCGCTCAAAACTTAGGGCGCAAGAGAGGAAATACGGTAACCCAGCGCGCGGGCCCCCAGCCCCAGCCATCCCAAAGCCAGAGCTGGAGGAGGTCGGGCAGAGGGGCCGCGCCTGGAGGGGGCTGGCTATCTGGGGGAACTCGGGCGAGGCCGGAGGGAGCCGAGGGCTCCGCACGCATCAGGGGCGGAGCGGGGCGGAGCGGGGGCTGCTCGGGCTCGGGGGTGGATCTTCGCTGTGGTCTGGGTTTCTTCTCTCGGCAACGGTCTTGACTCGCTTCCTTGAGCCACCGTCAGATATTTATTTAACCTCGCAGTTCAGCCTCCCAGGGGCCGGCTGGGAGGAATGGAGGCAGGGCGGGGGAAGGCTGGCGGAGATGGGGAGCGAAAGGGGAAACGTTTTCCTCCCTCTGCACAAGGCGCGGCTGCCTCGCTCACTCGTGGGGTCCTACCCCAGGCCCCTAGACCTTCGGGAGTCAGCCAGCCCCTTGGACTCCAAGGGAATTCAGGAATCACGCTAGTCCACTCCATCGATTTAAGAACGAGGAAACCAGGGGAGGTGTAACTTGTCCAAGGTCCTACAGTGAGTCCGAGGCGGTACCAGCCCGCCAGTGTCTGGGGTCCCCCATTACTTGTCCATCAAATGAGCACCCGAGGCCCCGCGGTGCCAGGGGAGTCGACAGACCTGAGTTCTGTGCGCAGCCCCAGCGTTTCCCAGCCTTGCGACTTTCACTAGACGCTTCCCCCTCCGTGCCTCCGTGTCTTGGTCTGTAAAAAGGGAATCATCACTCACCCCACCTTCCTTGTCTTGTTGAGGGGCAATTTTTTAAAAATACCAGCTGCCAATTGCCAAGCCCCAGTGAGCCTAGCACTGTCCTGGTCGCCTCGCACGCGGCCTTCTGTCCTCCCAGCTTTGTACAGCCCCCGCTTGTCTAGCCAGTCAGGATGAGGGGTTAGAGGGAGGGGCGAGGGGAGGCCAGAACCCAGCTCTCAGGCCAGAAAGGAGCTCCCCACCCCCCCCCCCAAGCCCCAGCCCCCGCCACTGTCCCAGGGGTCAGTGCTGGGGGCACTGGGGGAGGGGAAGCTGGGGGCCAGGGGGAGCGGAAGTCCCTGCTCCGAGCCCCACTTCCCCTCCCCCCGGCCGGCCCCGGGGCAGGTGAAGAGGGGACCGGGCTCCGCTCCAGGTGGCGGGGCAGCGACGGGGGTGGGGAAAAGCAACAATAGCACTTTTATTTGGGACTGTTTGGTTCTGAGCGGGTGGGCGGAGGAGGAGGAGGCCGACGGCGCTGCGGGGGAGGGGTGGTCAGCGGCATCTGGCTACACACCTGCTCCTGCTTAACCCTTTGCGTGCTGGGGCCGGGCACTCGGCGGGGAAGGCGGGCAGACCGCGAGGACGAGCTCCAGGCAGGGCAGTGCGCGGCTGCCCGGATGGCCAGCCTCCCGGGTCGCTGGCCGGGCCCGGCGGTCTCGGGGCGCTCGGGAATGGGGACAGTGGGGAAGTCCTCGTACCCTTGGCTGCCCCTCGACCTGCACTGGCCTCTTGGGCACAGCCCTCGGCTCCAGAGTCTGCCTCAAATGCGCCAGCGCGGCTCGGGCGGGAGAGGGAAGGCGAGGGGTGGCTCCAGGGCCTCGGCACAGATTCCCCGCCGCCCTCCGGCCGTTCCGGGAAGCTGGCCTTCCGGAGGCGGCGCGGCGGCCGCGGCCATGCCAAGGGCGCGGGGCGCGGGCCAGGCCTAGCCGGCGGCCGCCGGGTGGGGGAGCTAGCGCCGGGCGCGCCCTCTCCGCTAAACGCTTCCAGGCGCGGCGCTGCAGGTGAGCCGGGGCGCCCCGCGCCCCCCAGCCCGGGCCCGGGCCTCGCTGGCGCTCCCTGCTGGCCGGGCGCCCGCGTCGTGGAGCCCCGCGCTGCACCTGCGCGCCGAGACCCCTGCACGCCCGGCCACAGCACCCCCATCCCACCTCCCACCCCGGCGCTGGCGCGCTCGCCCGCCGCACAATCGGAGCTTGTTTGTGGGCGGAGGAGCCGCGCCGGGTGCGGCGGCCCCGCGCCAGCCCACTGATCCCATAAAATATTATTTGTGTTTAAAAATTCCAGTAATTGGCTATGCAGCCGCTTTTTCCGAGACCCGTGCCAAGCGCAGTAAAATCGCAGTCCGACTGGGGTTATTTTCATCATGCAAATTCCCATTTCTGTAAACACGGTTAAAGCCCCTGGAAGAGGCCGGGCTGGAAGGAGAGAAGTTAAAAGCCAAGGCATGTGCTCTGGACTCTGGGCTTTGGTCAGACTGGTCTCCATTCCTGCGATGACCTGGTTAATTGGGGAGAGTTATTCAGATATCCCCACCCCCACTCTATCGCTTTGCCTTGAAGACCAGTGTCTGGACTCTACTGACTGGGTAAAATCTCTGATTTCCTTAACTTTCCCTTCCTTTTTCTCATCTGAATAACTTACATCATCAAATCGTGGAATCCTAATTCTTTTTTCCTTTTTTTTTTAATCACAGGAGGAAACTGAGGCTCAGAGAGGGGAAGGGACTTGCCCAAGGTCACATAGCACGTTTGTGCCAGAGCCCAGGCGAGCCCACAGATTGCCTGACTGCCCAGCCATCAGGGCCCCTGGAGGTCTTGGAAGAGAAAGAGTCTGGGGCAGGTGCCCACTGCGGCCAGCACTGAGAGGCCAGCATGGAGAGCCCTGGGGCCTGACTCTGTCATGCTGACTGTAGGCTCATTAACTGGGGGAAGACTCCCTGCCTCTCCCAGCATGTACACTTCCTGTCCCTCAGGATCCTGACCCTGGAGAGGAGGAGGAGGGAGTCCCCGCCAGGGCCCTGGAAACCCTGAGTAATGGACAGGGGAGCCTCTGCCTGCTCCACCCAGGGATGGCTGCTGTCGGCAGCAGGGAGCACCAACCACACACGTGGGAGGAACAGATTGCTTAAACAGATGCTGAAAGGGAGCCCAGATTCAGAAAGGGAGCCCAGATTCTGAAATCGGAAGGAGAATTGGGGCTCAGAAAAAAGTAAATAATAGCATATTACTTGTAATATAATATATATTATATATATTATTGCTATATTGTATTGAGCCCTTACGATGTGCCAGGCACTACTTTCCAATTTGTCTCATTTAATTCCCACAACAAGCCAAGGGGATGGGTGTTAATATTATACCCACTTTCCAGATGAAGATACTGAGGCTCCGGGAGATTAAGTCCCTTGCCCACGGTTGCCAGGAAGGAAAGCCCTTCCTCTGGGGATTTTTGTGACTGGAAGACCTCTAGGTTTCCTTCTTCTGTCCCAACCCCAAGTTCTCATACCGGCCCAGCCTCCTCCTGCCTCCTCCCTCCGTCTGCCCCTGCAAGCCTTTGTGCAGGCCACCTCCTCCTGTTCCTCCTAGATGTTCCTCCTCCCTCCTATTCTCAGTTGTCCCCGTCGTGCCCCTTCTTTAGCTCCTCAGCCCCTCCGCCCCAGAGGCTGAGGACCATCTGCACAGATAAACTCTCTGTGATGCTGCTCTTGGACCACTAACTCAGGCAGGTTAAAGGAAAGCAGGTTATGGAGCTCTTTGCATAACAACAACAACAACAAAACTTTTTCCTAAGAAAAGTGGTTGTGTGCTTAGCAGTGCCTCCTCCATGCACATCCAAACACACACCTCCCCCCACCAAAACCAGGAGTCCCAGTTGAGGTTCAAAAGAAGGAAGGCATTTCTAGTGGTTCGGGATGATTTGACAGCAGAGTGGGCAGCCTGGTGAGGCACTGGGCCTCTCGTCACTACAGATGTCTCAGCACAGGCGGGAGGTCCCCTGTCCGATGGTGTAGCCAAAGAAATTCCTGGATTCCCTTTGGCTTGCTTGCTCAGAAATCAATTCCAACCCTAGGATTCCAGCTACATTACTGTACAAATATGGGTCCTCCTTGTAATCAAATTGAATCCAGAGTTAGTGTGTAAGTTTCTCGTCAATCTCTGAATAGAAATCCATCAAGGTGGCCGATATCAAGGGGAGAAGGAAAAAGCATCCCCAGCTGGGCCAGGTGGGAGGACAGCTGCCTGGGGTGAGAAGAGATACATTATGGTGGCAGTGTTGGGGGGGAGGTTTGAGAAAGGGGAAAAAAACAGAAAACAGTGTCTGGTGGATTGGGGGGGCACCTGCAGCAGAAGACTCTAGCATGGGAAAGTATTAGAGAAAGCCAGTTCTCCAAGTCCCAAGGGCCTCACAGGGGTCCCAGAGGTCTCTGCCCCTTGGGGCTCATCTCAGCCCTGTACATTTCCTGTCTTCAGCCTTGCTTCCTGCTCAGGCGGGGCCTTGATTGGGATTGTGCTCAGGTGAGGGGCCCTCCTCCTCCAGCACTGCGCACCTGGGCATGGGTTTTTGGGCCCAGGGGTGTGTGAAGGATGCCTCTTCCTGCCCGTGCCTCTGCCTAACTCCGGGTCCTAACACCCTCATTCCCAGAGCCCATCATAAGAATTAAGAATAGGGCAACTGCCTCATCCCTCAGGGAAGGAAAGAACCACCCTAATGAGCTGAGGGCTCTCTCTGTGGCACAGGACTGGGGGAGATTGGGGCGCAGTGGACTTCCAGCAAGCCTGCCCAGGCCAGGCTTGATGAAGCCACAATGGCTTCTTGGGGTGTAGACTGATGAGTATGATGGTACATGGGATTTGGAGGCGTGGCTGGCACCTTGAGCTCATTTCTTTTTGGACCTTGAAGGACTGAGACAGGAGGCCTCTTCCCTTACAGTCCCCTCTCCCCTTCTCCCACCCCAGAGAGGGGCGGAGGGAGTGGGTGGGTTCTGTGACCTTTCCTCCATTTGGCAAGCGAATTTGGAGATCCTTCTCAGGGGCGGGCGTGAGCAAAGACAACCACAAGTCAGAATCTGTATGGAAATGCCAATTAGAAAGAAAGATATACACTAAAAAAAAGAGGGAAAAAAAAAAACCCTCTATGGTGTGATAGGGATTTCAATAGACGTACCTTACATGGCAGGTACAAACTACATGGTCGACCATGAGAGAGGAGCGAGGGGCTAAGGGGACCTAAGTGAGGAACGCTTCAAGGTGAAGGACAGTCAAGCCTTTCAGCGGGCTTTGCAGGACTGGTAGAGTTTTTATCAAGCTGAGAGGTGGCTGGGTGATGGGAACAGCATCAAGCAGAGTGGAATAGGCAAGCCTAAAGCCGGAACCTGGCATGAAAGGATTAGCTGGGTGATATGGGAGGAGATGGGGGTTTCTAACTGGTCCCCCCACCCCAGGATCTGCTCTCAATCCTGCAGGTTCCCTCCCTCCTCTCTCACTTTTTTTTTTTTAAAGAAAGGTGGGTGAACTCCATCTCCAGACTGTCTGAGATCCCACCAGTGGAGGACATTTGTGGCAAAGAGGAGGAAGAATCAGGGTGTGTGTGCCAGGTAATTATCCATGCCTTCTACCTCCTTTGTTTGCTGTGACTCTCCATCTCTCTCTCCCACTGGGGTGTCCTGGTCTCCTCTCTGTCTGGCCTGTCTGCCTCTGTCCCTCTCAGGATCCCTCAGTCGCTGCCTCCTAGTGCAATCTCTGCCATCACCTCTTCTCTCTGTCTCCTTCTCCGTCCTGATCTGATTCTGCTTCCCCCTTTACTCAGGAACAAGACTCTCCTCCGAGTACCCAGGCAGGAGTTGGTGTGGGAGCTGATGGCCTGGCCCAGGTCATCCAGGGAGCAGGTCCTGTGGTGGAAGATGTATATTTCTCCCTGCACCTCCCCCTCCCTGACTCCCCCACCCTGGGTGGGCCCTGCTTCTGTGGGTGCAACCTGAGGATGAAGGTAATGCTCCATCCCCAGCTTACCCTGGCCTCCCGCTCTGCCCCTCAAACCCTCCTTGTCATCCAAGGAGGACCTCCCTCTCTGGGGGACCAGCCCCAAATGGAACCTCGGTCAGCTTCCCACATGATGACCCGCAAGTTAGAGCTGAGGCTTCCTCCCAAGGCCAGACCTCGGGCTCCCCTGAGGATCCAGCACCTCCCAGGCCCTGCGACAGCTGGCCCCATACCAGTTTGATCTCCGATTATTATCAAAACTTCCACCAAGAACTGGTCTCTCAAAGGTCAACATGCACCCTCTGCCAAGGAGGCCTCCCCCTCCCCAGGTGCAGGTGACGACTCCTCACGGCACCTTTCTTTAAAATAAATATTTTTGGGGCCGGCCCCGTGGCTTAGCGGTTAAGTGCATGCGCTCCACTGCTGGCAGCCCGGGTTCGGATCCCGGGCGCGCACCACTTCTCCGGCTATGCTGAGGCCAAGTCCCACATACAGCAACTGGAAGGATGTGCAGCTATGACATACAACTATCTACTGGGGCTTTGGGGGGAAAAAATAAATAAATAAAATCTTTAAAAAAAAAAAAATAACTAAATAAATAAATAAATATTTTTGTTAGATTAGCAATAGTCTGCCTCTTTCTTCTGTCCCAAAAGAGAGAGAGGAAAGACACAACTCCAGGCACTTTGAGATGCATTATTTCATTTCATCTGCACAATAGTCCTGAGAGGTTGAACATGTGTCAGATTTTGTAGATGAGGAAACTGAGGTTCAGAGAGGTTGTTACTTGCCCAAGTGGCAGAGGGAAGACTTGATCTCCGATCTGAGTCTGAAGACTGTGTCCCTTTCTCTGAGCCCCACAGGGATATCCTGGAGGCAAATCAATGACAGTACAATGCACAGGGAACTTGCAAGACCTTGAACTCTGTCAGTTGGAACCGGTTTTAATCTGTCAGGTTTCCTTTGAGGACTTGGGGCCAACTGCCCTCATGTCCCCACCCTGACACGTCATGTCCCCCCATTTTTTGCTCAGGCAAAGACAAGCAAACATACCCCTCCCCCCAATTCTCCTGCCCAAGGTACGATGAGGCAAATAGATCTTTTCTCCCATCACCTCCCTCAAAACCCAGTCCATAACCAATTGCAAAATGTGGACCTAATTTGAACCTGATTCAAATAAGCTGAAAGGAAGATATATTTGTAACACAATTGAAAATTTGAACACTGACTGGATAGTTGTTGATATTAAAGACAATTTTTTAATAATAGACTTTTTTAAGAAGTTTTAGATTTATTGAGAAAATAATGCAGAGAGTTCCCATATACCCCTCTCCACCCCCCCACACCCAGTTTCCTCTATTATTAACATCTTATAATTAATGAACCAATACTGATACATTATTATTAACCAGAGACCATAGTTTATTCAAATTTCCTTAGTTTTTACTTGGTATCCTTTTTCTGTGCCAGGATCCCATCCAGGATACCACGTTACATTTAGTTGTCCTGTCTCTTTCGGCTCTTCTTGGCTATGACAGTTTCTTAGACTTTCCCTATTTTTGATGACCTTGACAGTTTTGAGAAGTTCTGGTCAAGTATTTCATGGAACGTCCCTCTATTGGAATTTAATGTTTTTCTCATGATTAGACTGGGGTTTGGGGTTTGGGGGAAGAAGATCACAGAGGTAAAGAGCCATTCTCATCACATGATATCAAGGGTACATCGTATCAACATGATGTATGACTGCTGATGTTGACCTTGGCCACAGGGCTGAGATGGTGGTGGTCAGGTTCTCCACCGTAGTGACGCGTCCCCCCGCCTTCCACGCTGTGCTCTTCAGAAGAAAGTCACTAGGGGCCGGCCTGGTGGCGCAAGCAGGTAAGTGCGCTCGCTCCGCTGCAGCGGCCCGGCGTTCGTCGGTTCGGATCCCGGGTGCGCACCGACGCACCACTTGTCGAGCCATGCTGTGGCGGCGTCCCATATAAAGTAGAGGAAGACGGGCACGGATGTTAGCCCAGGGCCAGTCTTCCTCAGCAAAAAGAGGAGGATTGGCATCAGATGTTAGCTCAGGTCTGATCTTCCTCACACACACACAAAAAAACACACATACACACAAAAAAGAAGGAAGTCACTATAGCCAGCCTACTGTGAAGGGGTGGGAGTTATGCTGCCCCCCCACTTGAGGGCAGAGTATATACATAAATTATTTAGATTCTTCTGCCTGAGATATTTCTCTCTTCTCCCCCATTTATTTATTTATTCAATTATTTATACCAGCATGGACTCCGGGATATTTATTTTATACTTCGGGTAATAATCCAATACTACTATATTTATTTTGTTGCTCAGATTGTTCCAACTCTGGCCATTGGAGCTATTTCAGTTGGCTGCTGTGTCCCTTTGAGAAACCCCCATCAGTGTGGGATTTTGTTTTTCCTTTTGTTTTGTTTTAGCACTTCCGTACTTTCTGGCACTATAAGACACCCCAAGTTCCTCTTGCATATTTCCTGCCCAGTCCTAGAATCAGCTATTTCTCCATGGAGCCCTGGTTTCTTCTCCTGGAGAATGATACTGGAAGCCTAGATCTGGGTGCTAGGTGTGCTCATTGCTACTGGGGTTAAAGACTTAATTTTAACTTTTTACATGATAGCGGTATTGAACTTATTTTTTAAAGTCTTTATCTTTTTTTAGATACATATGAAATATTTATGGCTGAAATGGTATGTCTACAATCTGCTTCAAAATAATATGGGGAGTGATGGGACAAGGTTGGCCATGCATTGCTCACAGTGGAGGCTGGGTGATGGGATACATGGGGGCTCTTTATACCATTCTGTCTACTTTAGTATATGTTTGAAATGCCTGGAGTAAAAATTTTACAATAATAAAACAAAACTCAGTCCCAGTCACCTCCTCTAGAAGCCATTCTTGATTATTCTCTCTGGCCTGGTGTCTACTCCTTACTCCTGCTGGGCATTTCCATCCTTTCTGTGCCGGGGCACTGCTCTGTAGGTGTCCTGGGCCTCTGCTCACTGCCCGCCTGAGGATGGGGGATATCCTCAGAGTGGTGCACCACGGCAGCAACCTGGGGGTGCTCCGCACCAAAGAGGGGAGAGCAGCTCCCAGCAGCTGTGCCCAAGTGCGGCAGTTTGTCAGGCCCCGTGCCGGGCACTTTCACAGGGGCAGTCCCAGGTGACTTCTCCTCATACAGTCCTAGGAAGCAGGCATCATTCTTACCCTGAGTTTACAGATGAGGAAACTGAGGCTACGAGAACCATAGAGCATCCCTGACCATGTGGCTTCCAACGGACAGAGCTGGCTCTTCTGAACCCACCCTAGGGAGAAGGGATCTAGAGTGCTAAGTGTTCTCCATCTGCCCCTCTGCATCCACTCTCCAACCTTCTCCCCCTGCCTCTGCGCCCAGAGCCTGACCCTCTGAACTGCATCACTCAGCTCTCTGTCCTCTGGCTTCCCTTTGGCTTTGGCCAATGTAGGCACTGGCAGGAGGTCAGAGAATGGACGAGAGAAGTGGGGGTGCTTGTTCCCCCAGCGTCCTCCCTGCTGTGCAGGTTTGGCAATGGCAGCCTTTCCTACAGCCCCAGCACTCACTGATGTGGGGAGCCACCACTTCCCAGCTCTTTCAGGCCTAGGTGCTAACAGCCTCCCAGTCGGCATCAGCATCATCAGCATCAGCATCACCAATATCCGGAGTCAGTCCGCCATTCACACCCCTGGTTGATTCCCTGCATTAAATGCTCCTCAGGCCCCTTGAGGGGGACGCTGATGACACACCTGGTTCCACTGAAGAAGGCTACTCTCAGCTGATGGTCACAAAAAGACCTAACTACACCGCACTGCCCACTGTGTGGAGAGGAGACAAGAAGGGTCCAGAGCCCAGGGTTGGAGGCAGGGGGAGCTTTGGTTTGGGGCCGAGATCTTTTAATTAAGTAAATGTGCTGGGGGTTTTCTTCCCTTTTCTATGTTGCTGCCCCCAGGGATCCTTCTGTTACTAAACCTCTGGCTTTTATTTCCCTTTCTCCTTCTCTCTGCCCCATTTCCAATCTCTGCCTGCTTGAGCATCTGTCTCAGCCTTTGTCGTTTTTACTTCCCAGTAGCATCCCTTTTCTTGGTGTCTTTGTGGACTTCCCTGCCTCTGATGGCCTCATCTGTCTGTCTGTCCCTCCCTCCACGCCTGTCTCCACCTCTTCCTCTCTGTTTCTGTCTGCTCCATCTCTATCTACCACTGTCATTGCCTTTTTTGTGTGTGTGAGGAAGATCAGCCCTGTGCTAACATCTAGCAATCCTCCTTTTTTTTTTTTTTTTTTGCTGAGGAAGACTGGCCCTGGGCTAACATCCATGCCCATCTTCCTCTACTTTATACGGGATGCTGCCACAGCATAGCTTGCCAAGCAGTGCGTCAGTGCACGCCTGGGATCCAAACTGGCGAACCCCAGGCCGCCGCAGCAGAGCGCGCGCACTTAACCGCTTGCGCCACGGGGCCAGCCCCCCGTCATTGCTTTTTTTTTTTTTTTTTTAAAGT